AATCCGCAAAAGAAAGGTTTAAAATATTTAAATATCGAGTTGTATTCGTATTTGAAAGTATTATTTAATGCTTGTAATTACAGGAAGATGATGAGCGCGTCATGGCTGAAATTCGAAAGAGACGTGAAAGAGAAGATGAAGAGCGAGCAAAATTCAGAGAAATCAGAGAAAAGGAGCGTAGAGAAGAACGGGAAAGACGGGTATAGTGTGAATTTAAAATTTAAGATATAATTAGTGTGGCGGTTGGGGTTGATAAACCGAATTGCTATTGTTTCATTCCCAATCAATTTCGTCTTACAAGCTAATCTTTATAGGATCGTGACCAGAAATCGGTCCGACGACGTAGTAGAAGTAGAAATTCTCACCGGATTCGTAGTCGTAGTAGAAGTAGAAGCGTCGAAAATAAACATCGACGATCCCATAGGCGAAGCAGAAGTAGAAGCGCCGAGAGTAGACATCAACGACGATCGCATAGAAGAAGTAGAAGTAAAAGTAGAGATCGTATTACCAGGGAACGTAGTGGGGAACGCCGAAAGTATAAGAACCATCGGCGCGGTAGCAGAAGTCGAAGCAAAGAGAAACGAAGATATGATGAAAGGAGACCACGTCGTAGCAGAAGTCGAGAGGAAGAGGATACGAGTAAGCGGCGTCGTCTCTCAAAGGAAGAAATTGTTACGAAGGTATCTTCCGAACAGTATAGCTCTACTCCTTCTCCAGGAAGAAATTATCATGATCAACACACGGACAATGTTGCAACCGAAGATGAAAATAGGAAAAGATTGGTTGATTCAGTAGAAGAAATTGATTCAATTCAAAATTCACCCCCTAGAAAAAAGGTAGCAGATGCACCTATTTTCAAGTCAAAATGGAACGATGATGAAGATGAGGAGGAAAATAAAAAGGTATATCCAGACAAGTTTCCTTCTCTGAAGGAAGATTAAGATATAAAATCTGTTACTAAAACTACGTATATAAATAAAATATATGTATATAAATAAAATATATGTATATATATATTTTTTTTTCTCTTTTTTTTTTTTTTTTTTTTTTCCAGACGTCAATGTCCGAACTAGAACAACTTGAAAAATTGCGAGCAAAAGCTTTCGAATCAATGAAGGCCCGAAAATAATTGTCATTTACAAGCTATAAATTAGATATAACAAAAGTTTAAGTAGTGAATATCAAACATATGTGATATTTCAGCATCATGCTTGCTGGAAAGTGAGCTTGTATTAGTTATTTCATAGCTGTGATTCAGATAATGATTTAAACTCTACATGTAATAATTAACATTATCTTAATGACATAGCTGATCATATAAAATTGAATCTCTATTTTCCAATAAAGATTCCGATTTGTATTGTTTCACAATGAAAATAGTCTATCCCATTTAAATATTTCAATATTTCATAATATGCTGATTAAACTTGCATGTCGGAATTTTTTAAATGTAACTCCGCGAATCTGAAAACTCGATATTTAAATATTTTAAACCTTTCTTTTGCGGATTTCTTCCATTTTTTGCTCAAGAAATATTGCTGGAATT